CAGGGCGACTGTCCCTACAATGTATCAGGATCCAGGGCGACTGTCCCTACAATGTATCTGGATCCAGGGTGACTGTCCCTACAATGTATCTGGATCCAGGGCGACTGTCCCTACAATGTATCTGGATCCAGGGTGACTGTCCCTACAATGTATCCGGATCCAGGGGGTGAATGTCCCTACAATGTATCCGGATCCAGGGTGACTGTCCCTACAATGTATCCCGATCCAGGGTGACTGTCCCTACAATGTATCCCGATCCAGGGTGACTGTCCCTACAATGTATCCCGATCCAGGGTGACTGTCCCTACAATGTATCCGGATCCAGGGTGACTGTCCCTACAATGTATCCGGATCCAGGGTGACTGTCCCTACAATGTATCCGGATCCAGGGTGACTGTCCCTACAATGTATCTCGATCCAGGGTGACTGTCGCTACAATGTATCCGGATCCAGGGTGACTGTCCCTACAATGTATCCCGATCCAGGGTGACTGTCCCTACAATGTATCCCGATCCAGGGTGACTGTCCCTACAATGTATCCCGATCCAGGGTGACTGTCCCTACAATGTATCCGGATCCAGGGTGACTGTCCCTACAATGTATCCGGATCCAGGGTGACTGTCCCTACAATGTATCCGGATCCAGGGTGACTGTCCCTACAATGTATCCGGATCCAGGGTGACTGTCCCTACAATGTATCCGGATCCAGGGTGACTGTCCCTACAATGTATCCGGATCCAGGGTGACTGTCGCTACAATGTATCCGGATCCAGGGTGACTGTCCCTACAATGTATCCCGATCCAGGGTGACTGTCCCTACAATGTATCCCGATCCAGGGTGACTGTCCCTACAATGTATCCCGATCCAGGGTGAATGTCCCTACAATGTATCCGGATCCAGGGTGAATGTCCCTACAATGTATCCGGATCCAGGGTGACTGTCGCTACAATGTATCCGGATCCAGGGTGACTGTCCCTACAATGTATCCGGATCCAGGGTGAATGTCCCTACAATGTATCCGGATCCAGGGTGACTGTCCCTACAAAAATGTATCCGGATCCAGGGTGACTGTCCCTACAATGTATCCGGATCCAGGGTGACTGTCCCTACAATGTATCCGGATCCAGGGTGACTGTCCCTACAATGTATCCGGATCCAGGGTGAATGTCCCTACAATGTATCCGGATCCAGGGTGACTGTCCCTACAATGTATCCCGATCCAGGGTGACTGTCCCTACAATGTATCCGGATCCAGGGTGACTGTCCCTACAATGTATCCGGATCCAGGGTGACTGTCCCTACAATGTATCCGGATCCAGGGTGACTGTCCCTACAATGTATCCGGATCCAGGGTGACTGTCCCTACAATGTATCCGGATCCAGGGTGACTGTCCCTACAATGTATCCGGATCCAGGGTGACTGTCCCTACAATGTATCCGGATCCAGGGTGACTGTCCCTACAATGTATCCGGATCCAGGGCGACTGTCCCTACAATGTATCCGGATCCAGGGTGACTGTCCCTACAATGTATCCGGATCCAGGGTGACTGTCCCTACAATGTATTTTTTGAAGTGTATCGAAAGCTTTATTTTGTACATTTTGGATGAGTAGATGAAATCTTTGTTGTTTTTTTGACTGTGCTGCATCGGGGAGATTTCCCTTCACTTCCTGTCCTGTAGAGAAGGCTTGTCCAATCAACGGCCCGAGGGCCACATGAGACCCAAGACGGCTTTGAATGCGACCAAAAACAAAATCATAAACTCACCTAAAGATGTTGTTTTATTTTTTTTTTGTTTTGTTTTTTTTTTAAATGCGTTTACACCTGGTGAACACGTGCGGCCGAAGGAAGAAGTGCGTCTCCTTTCTGGGCTTTTATACGTTTTCTCTTCTCCCGCTCTTCACAATCATTCATGTCATCAGTTTTCAGCACCGAGATTTGTCAGCAGCTATTTTCCAGGATGAAGAACACGAAGGGCAAAATTAGAGCCAAAATATCTGATGGGCACCCTAAGAATTCACTGAGATTTTCTCCTCCATCCACCCAACCAGATATTGTTGGTTTCGTTTATCAAAAACATCAAAAAAGATGAGTCTATCACGCTGATTGAGTTAGAATAACAGACTGGAAGCTTTAACAAGGGGGTGGTGCTTGAAGTCATTGTTCTTCCTCTGTTAACCATGGTTACCTGCAAGGAAACATGTGCCGTCATCATTGCTTTGCCCAAAAAGGGATTCACAGGCCAGGATATTGCTGCTACTCAGATTGCACCTAAATCAACCATTTATCGGATCATCGAGAACTCCAAAGAGAGAGGTTCAATTGTGAAGAAGGCTTCAGGGTGGCCAGGAAAGTCCAGCAAGCACCAGGACCGTCTCCTAAAGTTGATTCAGCTGCGGGATTGGGGCTCCACCAGTGAGGAGCTTGCTCAGGAGTGGCAGCAGGCAGGTGTGATGCATCGGCATGCACAGTGAGGAAAGAAGACTTTTGGAGGATGGCCTGGTGTCAGGAAGGGCAGCAAAGAAGTCACTTTTGTCCAGGAAAAACATCCGAGACCAACTGATATTCTGCAAAAGGTCCAGGGATTGGGCTGCTGAGGACTGGGGGAAAATCATTGTCTCTGATGGATCCCCTTTCTGATTGTTTGGGGCATCTGGAGAAGAAAAGGTGAGCACTCCAATCAGTCCGGTGTCATGCCAACAGTAAAGCCTCCTGAGACCATTCATGTGGGGTCACTTCTCGGCCAAAGGAGTTGAGCTCACTCACAATTCTGCCTAAGAACACCGCCATGAATAAAGAATGGTCCAAAAACCTCCTCTGAGAGCAACTTCTCCCAACCATCCAAGAATAGTTGGGTGAGGAACAATGTCTTCTCCAGCATGATGGAGCACCTTTCATTGAGGCAAAAGTCAGAACCAAGTGGCTTGGAGAACAAAACCTCAAAATTTGGGGTCCATGGCTAGGAAGCTCCCCAGACCTTCATCCCATTGGGAACTTGTGGTCAGTCCTTGAGGCGGGTGAACAAAAAGACCCCACAAACTCCAAGAATTGATGATGGAAGAATGGGCGACCATCAGTCAGGATGTGGCCCAGAAGTTGATGGACTGCATGCCGGGGGGCATTGGGGAGGTCTTGGAGAAAGAAGGGCCAACACTGCAAATATTGACTCTGCAGAAACTTTGTCATTGTCAATAAAAGCCTCTGAGACATAGGATATGCTTGTAATTACACTTCAGTATCCCATAGTAACATCTGACAAACGATCGAAAACCAGCGAAGCGGCAGACTTTGGGAAAATTCAAATTTGTGCCCCGATCTCTAGGAAGACAGGTTCTCTTCTTCCAGTGTAGCCCAGGAGGGTGAAAAGGTTGGAGATCTCTGATCTCCGGGGGGAGAGGCCGGGCGGCAGCCCCCAATCTCCGGGGGGAAGAGGCCGGGCGGCAGCCCCCGAACTCCGGGGGGAGAGGCCGGGCGGCAGCCCCCGAACTCCGGGGGGAGAGGCCGGGCGGCAGCCCCCGAACTCCGGGGGGAGAGAGGCCGGGCGGCAGCCCTGAACTCCGGGGGGAGGAGAGGCCGGGCGGCAGCCCCCGATCTCCGGGGGGAGAGGCGGGCGGCAGCAGCCCCCGATCTCTAGGAAGACAGGTTCTCTTCTTCCAGTGTAGCCCAGGAGGGTGAAAAGGTTGGAGATCTCTGATCTCTGGGGGGAGAGGCCGAGCAGCAGCCCCCGATCTCTGGGGGGAGAGGCCGGGCGGCAGCCCCCGATCTCTGGGGGGAGAGGCCAGGCGGCGGCAGCCCCCGATCTCTGGGGGGAGAGGCCAGGCGGCGGCAGCCCCCGATCTCTGGGGGGAGAGGCCAGGCGGCAGCAGCCCCCGATCTCCGGGGGGAGAGGCCAGGCGGCAGGCCCCCGATCTCTAGGAAGACAGGTTCTCTTCTTACAGTGTAGCCCAGGAGGGTGAAAAGGTTGGAGATCTCCGATCTCCGGGGGGGAGAGGCCGGGCGGCAGCCCCTGATCTCTAGAAAAAGGTTGGGAAGCCCTGCTGTCGAGTGAGCTTTTCTCTTCTAGGAAATCCTGGCAGAGTTCGTGAATTCTTGATTGTCATTAGAACTAGTGTCCCCATTGGAAGATATCCCCACTCTTACTTCTCTGGGGACAACCCAAAATGTGGGATCTTCTTTCACTTTCAATAATCGTAAACAGAACAAATAGAGAGGGGGAATCTCCGTAAGGGGGGCACAGAGGGGGAATCTCCGTAATGGGGGACACAGACGGGGAATCTCCGTGAGGGGGCAGACGGGGAATCTGCATAATAGGGACACAGGGTCACTTCGAAGTCCCAGCACCAGGATGGGCAGACTCCTCTCCTTCGAATACCACTCCCCATCCACACACAGTTTTTTTTTCTCGACTGTATGTACATTTCCATCCCTTTCCATGAGGGGTCCATGTTGGCTACTATTGCTGGCCGCCTAAGTATTTCTCACGATAGAAACCTATCAAAACTGGGCTCAAGGTGAATGTTTCTTCCTTGGATATTGACAGGAGGCCAGGAGAAGACATGACTGGTGGAATGACTGGTGTAATGTCCCATGTGAACCCTCTGCTAGGTGGAGCTGACCCTACGTCATGTTGCATGGACAGGGACATCTTTGGGCAGCCTTAGAGTTTACAGCCCGATTGCTACATTTCAGTTACCGGAGTTGCTCTCTGAGACCAGAGGGCTTCCAATCCATATCTGGCCTTGGTGGGCCAGCAAATGTAGGTGAGATAAATGTGTCACCAACACTGACCAGGGTTCTCATTTGTTTCCTTCTACAGAACATTGTTGGAGAACAAGATCCAGAACATTCTCAGGAGACCAAGCGTCGGTTCCAGTACTACACCCATAACCCCCGTAATGAAGAAGACAACGCCGAGACCGCTCACCCTAGTCCCGGGAAAGAACGATTTCTACTCTTCACCTACCGCCCCGACCCGTTCGTCCCATTCATCAAATACTTCATGTTCTGCGTCAACTCTGCCATCTTCACCTTGGGATTGGCCATCCTGTGTGTCGGCTTCTGGGGCCTCGCTGCCAAGCAGTCCTTAATGGGCGAACAGATCGGATACCTGGGAACCGACCCTATGCTGGTGTTCGTTCTGGTAGGCCTGGTGACGTGCGCCTTATCGTTTTCGGGGTGTGTCGGGTTTGTCAGGGAGAACACTTGTCTTCTGAAGACCTTCTTTGTTGGGATAATGATTCTGATAACCGCGCAGAGCTTGGTGGCCATCGTGGTCCTTTGTTTTCAGCAGCAGATCCAGGATTCCTTGAGGAGCACCATGCTGGTCGCCATGAGCCGATACCAAGACGATGCCGACTTGAGGTTTATACTGGATGAGGTTCAGCTGGCTATGGAGTGCTGCGGGGGGCAGTCTTACCAAGACTGGTCGGTCAATCTGTAAGTGTCAATGCCACTTTGAGGGTTCAGCTGCCAATCCTGGGACAAGGTCATCCAGCACTTGGGGTGAAGATAATAAAGTCCCCCCCCCCCCCCCCAAGCCCTGCAACTCCCCCCTCCTAGCACAAATCACCTTGTCAAACTGCTCGGTCAAATCCCCCCTCCTACCACAAATCCAGTCCCCCTCCACCCCTCATTGTGGCTGTAAGCCGTGTACCGGGGTGGGCTCCCCAGGATACAGTGAAGTCACGAATGAGGAAAGCAACCCCAACACCAGCTTTTGCCACAACAGAATTTTACTTAGATGTGGCAAATAAACACAACCCCAAATGCTGAGAACATACAATATATTTACATACACCCAGCCTGGCTGAGACCCTTGTGCTGCACGGCGCCCTCTGATGGATGAAGGTAGAAAGTGAAGTAATTTACCTACTGGGGGGCATAACTAAGCTGCCATACCCATTATTACCCTACAGAGCAGGAATCAGTGTATGGGGGTACGGTATGGGCTAGCCTGTGGTGCAGCACAACAGCTTACAATCTTACACAAATCTATAGTATCCCCCCCCCCCCCCCCCCATAACTGGTCCTGTAGCACATGCCTGAGTATTACTTCTGAGCAAAACGCCAGTCTGGCTTGAGTTTGTGGGATGTTATCAGCTCTCCAATGTGAAATGTCACTTTAAGTTGTGGAGTCCTTCCAATGATCAGTAATAACCAGGGGCGGAGTGACCATTTGGAAACTCGGGCGCCGCCCGAGGGCCCGGGGTCAGTAGGGGGCCCCATGAGATGCCCCTGGTACCTTTTTTCATAGGTTTTTTTGAGTTTGGGGAAGGACACAGGGGTCCCATGATCCCCTATTGCCCGGGGACCCCATGAATTGTCAGTCCGCCCCTGGTAATAACACTTGTGGCCTGACATAAACAGAGACCCTAACTAACTAACTAACTATAGGCCTGGACTCCGCCTCTAGGCACCCACACTGAAATGAGGTGCGTGCACGATCTTACCAACCCGGGTCTGCTTTGCATCCGCTGGTGACTCTGAACAGAACAAATGTCCCTCCAACAAGCATGCGGTATCGCAGTGTATGTTGTTTTGTTCCTCTGCTCTCATCAGCATTCCTGGCAGCAATCTTCCTTTCTCTGCACAGGATCAGGGTCTTGGACACGATCAGCTTCACCCAGCTGCAGCTCTGGTTACTGAGGGATTGTTAGGGATCCGGGTATGACCAGAAATGTGTGGACTGACACAGGGAAGTAGCAGGCTTCAGGAACACAGGCGTAGTCAGGGCTGGAGAGGTGGAATGGTCAGGCAGGCCGTAAGGTACTGTCAGGTGCCGCCTGGCAGTGTCTCTAGCAGCCCACAGCACGGATTTCCTCAGGGCGCGGGGTCTAAGTTCCAGCCTGCTATTCACCAGGGCCCCTGATGGTGGGGATGGACTTGGTGCAGACTGGAACCAGGTCGCGACCCCTGAGTGCGTCCGGCTGTGGTAGAGAGTACTGGCAGGGGAGTGCAGGAACGGAGTCTGATGGGAAGAGGCAGGCAGACTTACTAAAGGTGATCCGTGCGGGATGGATCGTCAGGTGAAGTAAGCGTAGTCAGACAGGCCGGGTCGGTATCGTGCGGGCAGCGTGGTACAGGAGGGGCAAGCAGAGAATGGTCGGGGTCACAAGCCAGGTTCAGCAGGTAGCGGGCAGCGCGGTACCAAGGATCAGGCAGAAGGTTGGTCAGGCAAGCCAGGGGTTCAACAGGAGACAGCCAGCAGAGGTCAGGATCAAAGCAGGGTCAGCAACGAGGCAGAAACACAGGATACCAGGTACAGGGGCTCATGGGAAACATACACCAAGGCCCTGATCACAGGCCTAGTCAGTCCTTAAATACACCCCCTGCAATCAGCCCCAGGTGTTGGCTGACTACAGGAGTGAGCTTCTGGCTGCTGAGAGCACCCGCTGGTCAGCCCCGGTACTGCAGCCCACACGGCAGGTGAGTCCCACCACCAGTGCTGAGTCCATTGCTGACAGGGATGTTCTCACACCTGGATACCATCAGATTCTCTGCTCACACAGCTCCTGCATTCACCATCCTCTAAACACGGCTGCTGTCTCTCTCCTTCCTGTCCGCTAAACCCTGTGTGAAAACCCCGCCTCTTCATGAATATAGAAATATCTATGCAGTCTGAGGATGTGTTAGGAAAACGGTGGCATCTTGTGGCTAAACCGCAGAATGTCAGTCCCAAACATTTAATTTACTCCACACAATAATTTACTGCACACAACCAGTGTTCAAACAATGAGAGCTGTTTCCCCATCTCACATGGCCCCCGCACAGCTCCCCATCCCTTCCTGCAATTTAGACCTAAAATGCTACAGGGGCGTGAACTCACCCCTCCCTCACAGGAGTTCACTGGGCCGGGGGCAGCTGCCCCTCCTGTCCATCCCTTGTCCCACTGCCCAGTCCTTACAGCTGCCATAGCTGGCCTATTAATGATGGGTTCAAATTCCAGGGCTTTCCAAGGAACAATTGAGTTCTGACGTGATACTTTTTGTTATTTGCACTAACATACAATTTTGAGGACAAGCTGTCGGGGAGAGTCCCCTTCTTCAGGGTCCCAGCAGTACTCAGGAGGGGGGGTTTGAGGGTGTATGTGTGGTGGGGGGGTTGGGGGGGGGTTTGAGGGTGTGTGTGTGTGGTGGGGGGGGTTAAAGGGGGGGTTTGGGGGGTGTGTGTGGATTGGAAAGACCCATGTAAGGGATCACTGTGATTGGGGATACCTGATGTAAGGGGAGCTCTGATGGGGACACCTAATGTAGGGGGCACTGTGTCCCCACCAGCGTGTCCCTTTGCATCAGGTGTCCCCACCAGCGTGCCCCCTTGCATCAGGTGTCCCCACCAGTGTGCCCCCTTGAATCAGGTGTCCCCACCAGAGTGCCCCCTTACATCAGGTGTCCCCACCAGTGTGCCCCCTTGCATCAAACATCCCTACCAAAATGCTCCTTTACATATTTTCAGTTACCCCATTAGTTGATGTAAGGGAGCATTTCGATGGGGATGTTTGATGTAAGGGGGCACACTGATGGGGACACCTGATGTAAGGGGGCACTCTGGTGGGGACATTTGATGCAAGGGGGCACACTGGTTGGGACACCTGATGCAAGGGGGCACACTGGTGGGGACACCTGATGTAAGGGGGCACTCTGATGGGGACATCTGATGTAAGGGGGGCACTCTGGTGGGGACATTTGATGCAAGGGGGCACTCTGATGGGGGCATTCTGATGGGGACACCTGATGTAAGGGGGCACTCTGGTGGGGACATCTGATGCAAGGGGGCACTCTGGTGGGGACATCTGATGTAAGGGGGCACTCTGATGGGGACACCTGATGCAAGGGGGCACTCTGGTGGGGACATCTGATGTAAGGGGGCACTCTGGTGGGGACATCTGATGTAAGGGGGCACTCTGATGGGGACACCTGATGCAAGTGGGCACTCTGGTGGGGACACCTGATGCAAGTGGGCACTCTGGTGGGGACATTTGATGCAAGGGGGCACTCTGATGGGGGCACTCTGGTGGGGACACCTGATATATAATAATATTTTATTTTTTTTCCCTCCCAGAGTATTTTAATTTTTTTTAATTTCAGGTATTTTAACTGCTCGTCCCCTGGGGTGAACTCTTGCGGCGTTCCGTACTCCTGCTGCATCGACCCCCTGCAGAATGGCACGGTCCCCAACTCTCAGTGCGGTTTCGGTGCTCTGGCGATGGGAGAAGTTGCGGCCAGCAGCCTCGTCTATCTGGGTGGCTGCATTCCTCAGCTGGTCCTCTGGATTGGCAGCAGGATCTGGGATATTGCGGCGGTTTATATCTTGCTGACCGCCATCGAAGTCGTCTTCCTGGTCTTCGCCCAGAGAGTGATGCGAGAGATCGAGGCGGTGAAATCTCTGTACTGAATGCTTTCTGTTACCTTTTCATTAAACTATAACAGACAGATGGGGGTTGCGGACTTTTTTTTTTCATTTTTTTCTTTTTTTTTTTTTCTTTTTTTTTTTTTTTTTTTTTCTTTCTTTTTTTTCTTTTTCTTTTTTTTTTTTTTTTTTTTTTTCTTTTTTTTCTTTCTTTTTTCTTTCTTTTTTTTTTCTTTTTTTTTCTTTCTTTTTTCTTTTTTTTTTTTTTTTTTTTTTTTTTTTTTTTTTTCTTTTTTCTTTTTTTCTTTCTTTTTTTTCTTTTCTTTTTTTTCTTCTTTTTTCTTTCTTTCTTTTTTGAGATTGCTCATTTGACTAGGGAGAAAAAAAAAATCCAACAATTGCAAAGCGACAGTTGGGATGCACCAGGATAAGAACACTTTCTTCCGAAAAAGTGGCAGTTATTTTCAGTTAAATCCCATGAGGTTAGACGATTCATGTCTCATGGATAAAATAAAGACTTGGGGTGTCGATTTATGAGAAGATTTGCAGCAATTCATCCAGCGAATCTGCATGTGTGTTCGTTCTTTGCAAAAAAAAAAAAGTTCTATAGGCTATTCGCTCTTCTGAAAGAATGCTCTTTTATTAGTACCCCCAATCACGCCGGGTGCGACTTGGCATGTGATCCGCCATGCCATGTGACTTGCAAATCGTATGCCAAGTCACACCCTATTGTCCGCAATCACAGCGCTCACATCGGCGCGGTTCTGTCTCGGTCGGAGCCGCACTGATTTTCCAAAGTGGCGCATGCACTACTTGTGGTGCGATTTGCATAGACATCTGTGTCGGATGTCTATGCAAAAATCGCACTTTAAATCGGCGTGTCCCCCGACTTTGAAATGGAGCGGGTTCAATGTAAGTCACATGGTTTCAAAGTCGGGCTTGATGTGCCCGGGGTGTAAGGGCAGGAATAAATACCGCATTATGGCCACTAGAGGGAGATGAGGAGGCTTGTAGACACTGGTCGGGGCGCACAGGGTCATGCTTTGCTGGGGTTGCGGCTGCCAGGCTGCTGCACCGTGGAAACGCATGGCTGTGATCCAGGGCAGGCCACATGCAGGGATGCCGTTAGGCTGCTTTCACATGGATCTGCTGCAAGAATACATTTTCTGCTCTTTCTGAGCGTTTAAAGTGTACGTGAAAACTGCACCAAAAACGCTTCTCAGAGGCGCTTCCAGGCGTTTTTCAGGCATTTTTCAGGCGTTTTCCACGGATCTCAGTGGGAAGAGGCATTTTTTTTTAAAACCGAACAAACATCCAGAGATGCTGAAAGTGGGGAGTTTTGACACCACAACGGAAGCGCAGCGCCGCAGTGAGAACACATTCCTAGACATGCGCAGGGAAGCATTTTTATTGAGCTTTTCAGGTGATTTTTTTTTTTTTTTTTTTTTTACACAAAATCACTTCAAAAACTCCTCCGTGTGAAAGTCGCCTTAGAGAGGGAAGGAAGAAGGTTTGTATCTGGAGCCCCCCTCCACCCAGACCACCCCCAACACACCTGAAATAGGTGGCAGTTCTTGAAGGAGGGCTCCTGGTCTAAAGGGGACATGCTGATGTGATGGAGGGTCTTCGGTTGTGACAGGGGGAGGGCTTTTATGTGATGGGGGGGCTTCGGTTGTGACGAGGGGGCTTTGATGTGATGGGGGGCTTCGGTTGTGACGGGGGGGCTTTGATGTGATGGGGGGGCTTCGGTTGTGACGGGGGGCTTTGATGTGATGGGGCGCTCTGATGTGATGGCAGGAATCTGATGTGATGGGGGGGTCTCTGATGTGATGGGGGGAACTCTGATCTGATGGGGGACCTCTGATGTGATGAGGGAACTCTGATGTGATGGGGGACCTATTATGTGATGGGGGGGGTCTCTGATGTGATGGGGGTCATCTGATGTGAGGGGGGATCTCTGATGGGGGGGGCATCTGCTTTGATGGGTGGCCTCTGATGTGATGGGGGGAGCTATGATGTGATGGGTGGCCTCTGATGGGGGGGCTTCTGATGTGATGGAGGGCCTCTGATGTGATGGGGGGGTCTATGATGCGTTGGGGGATCTCTGATTTGATGGGGGCCCTTTAATGTTATGAGGGAGCCTCTGATATGATGAGGGGGCCTCTGATGTGATGGGAGGGCATCTGATGTGATGGGGGGGCTCTGATGTGATGGGGGGGAGGTCTCTGATGTGATGGAGGGGGGATGATCGCTGATGTGATGAGGGAGCCTCTGATGTGATGGGGGGGAGGTCTCTGATGTGATGGAGGGGGGATGATCGCTGATGTGATGAGGGAGCCTCTGATGTGATGGGGGGGAGGTCTCTGATGTGATGGAGGGGGGATGATCGCTGATGTGATGGGGGGGGGCTCTGATGTGATGGGGGTCCTTTGATATGGGGGGACCTCTGATGTGATGGAGGGGGGATGATCGTTGATGTGATGGGGGTCCTTTGATATGAGGGGACCTCTGATGTGCTGGGGGGGGGGGAATACTGATGTAATGGGAGGCGGGCTGTGCTGTAAAGAGGACTCTAATATGAAGGGAGGAGGCTGAACTTGACAGAAGTGGCTGCAAGAAGCCGCAGCAGATCAGCAGCACTAAGATGGGGAAAAAAATCGGCAATAGTTTTCTCATACATGGCCCTCTATAAAGCAAAATCCCCTCCCCCTCCGAGCCAACATCCCCTTTAATTGAGGTGCTGATGGGGTGGAGCCCCCTTCCCTAAGATCAGACCTTTGGCGCAATCGTCAGACAAGCGCATTGATCGATCGCTCGGCTGCACCAGGTTTTGTATGGCCGTATTTATGTATCGCCAGCCTGCGATGATCTGGGAGGGGGGGGATTTCTTCGCCACGTGACGCTTTATCTTCTAGAACAGTTGTGTGGCGAGGATTAGAGGAGAAGATTACAGGTGATTTACCGCCAGGAGGGACGGGCAGCAAGGACAAGGGAGACGGGGGGGAGCGGGACATTGAGCGCGCTGCGGCGTCTGCACACGGATCCAGAAATACTGACACCTTCAATTCCAGGAAACGTGCCGCCGTCCCAGAGACGCGATTCTTCCCAGAATAAAACGTTTATATCCCGACTCCGGGCAAAATCCTTTCTTTTTTCTCCAGTCATTGATAGAGCGCAGGCGGGCGAGAACGTCTGCAGGGATCTAAATGCTGCCTGTCTTCCCATTGGTTACATTTTATTCCCTCCAGCATTCTCCAGAATTGTTACATTGTATCTCTTGTTACAAAGATGTATCCTGTATATTCCCTCTGCTCCTCAGCTCCCCCTAGTGACCCTAATGAAGGATTTTACAACTGCCCCCCTAATAGAAGAACATTCATTTTTTGGCCCACTTTGCACATTTGTTGGAGAACTGCCATTTATTTACAAAAAGACCCCGTAGAAGTCCTAACTGATATTTTGCTAAAGCACTGGATATAACCGACCATCTTCATTTCGTTAAAATTAAATACTTGCCCCCCCCCCTTCTTCTTTTTTTTTCCTCTCTCTTTTTTTTCTCTTTCTTTTTTTTTTCTTTCTTTCTTTCTTTCTTTCTTTTTTTTCTTTTTCTTTTTTTCTTTCTTTTTTTTTTTCTTTCCTCTTTCTTCTTTTTTTATTTCTTTCTTTTTTTGAGATTGCTCATTTGACAGGGAGAAAAAAAAAATCCAACAATTGCAAAGCAACAGTTGGGATGCACCAGGATAAGGACACTTTCTTCCCAAAAAGTGGCAGTTATTTTCAGTTAAATCCCGTGAGGTCAGAAGATTCATGTCTCATGGATAAAATAAAGACTTGGGGTGTCGATATATGAGAAGATTTGCAGCAATTCATCCAGCGAATCTGCATGTGTATATTATATTAACGCATTTCAACATGCAGTGTGTATGTGTGCTTTTCATATATATATATGTGTGTGTATTGAAATATATTGAATACGGCCAAAATTTTAGTATTTCAAATATATGTCAATATATTTGGGAAGAATATTTTTAAAATATATTTCAGATATATTTTCTTCCATGTGGGATGGTAAACTGCAAATCAGCTGCTTGTTTTCACCAGCCACCAGTGTGAAAGAGCCACCCCCCCTTTATGTCGCCCTGGTACAAGTACTGCCTGTACCTTTTTAACCATTTCAATACCGGGCAATTTCCCCCCTCCCTGCCCAGGCCATTTTTCAGGTTTCAGCGCTCTCACACTTTGAATGACAATTGCGCGGTCATACAACATTGTACCCAAACTAAAATTTTATCATTTTCTTCACACAACTAGAGCTTTCTTTTGGTGGTATTTAATCACCGCTGGGGTTTTTATTTTTTTGCTAAATTAACAAAAAAAGACCAAAAATTTTGAAAAAAAACCACATTTTTCTTTGTTTCTGTTATAAAAGTTTACAAATAAATAATTGTTCTTCATAAATTTAGGCCGAGATGTATTCTGCTACATGTCTTTGGTGAAAATATCCCAAATTAGGATGTATTTTTTAGTTTGTAGGAAAGTTATAGAGTTCACAAACTATGGTATAGATCTGATTATTGATCAATCCTGAAGTACTGACAGCCAATCTAATTTCTTGAGGTCCAAGAATGTCAGGACGGTACAGATATCCCCAAATGTCAGGACAGTACAGATATCCCCCCAAATGTCAGAACAGTACAGATATCCCCCAAATGTCAGGACGGTACAGATATCCCCAAATGTCAGAATAGTACAGATATCCCCAAATGACCCCTTTTTGCAGAGTAGACAGTCCGACGTACTTCATAAGAGGAATGGCGAGTTTTTTGAAGTTGTATTTTTTTGTCATAATTTTTCGGAAAATTAAAAAATTAAAAAAAATTATTTTCACTATTTTTTTTTTTACATACTGTCACCAGTGCAGTACAGCGTCATCATATAACTGGCATGGCGGTGAACAGGGACACTGACTGGTGACAGTATGAAAAAAAAAAAAATATATATATATTTTTTTTTTTTTTTTTATTATATTTAATTTTTTATTACATTTATTTTTATTTTTTTTAAGATTTTTTTTTTATAATATTTTACTATGACCAAAGTAGTACAATGTTACCATAGTAACATTGTACTACTTTGGGGAAGTGATCAGTATTTTTTTTTTTTTTTTTTACACAATTTGCTTATAGCAAAGAATTACTTTGCTATAAGCAAGCATTTACCTGAATGAAATCGATTCATTCAGCTTTTTTTTTTTTTTTTTGTGCTTAGCTGTGATTTGGTCACAGCTAATCACATGACATGTGCATGTAATCCCTGTGACCATTCACAGCTAGGCACTAGTATACAATGGATGGCATGAATGAAGCCATCCATTGTATACAACTGTCATGTGACCTGCTGTGATTGGTCACAGCAGGTCACATGGTACCAGCAACGGGAGCCGATACTCGGATCTGTCATCGGCCGTGTCCGAGGTGCACGGCCGGTGACAGATCGCACTGCTGCGCCGCTCTGCATTAGCGCAAACAACGCATGTGTGGGAGCACGCCAAATGGCGTGAACCCGGAATGCAGGGACACATTTGAAGCCGCCAAACGGCCGTTGGCCGGGCGGCTAATGGCTAAAGAGACACACTTCCTGTTCCCGAGATGCAACCGGAAATGAAAGGAAATCTCTCCAAATTGAGAGGGGGTCCCCTGACACGCCATAGGAATTTCATCTGGATCCTGATGAACTGGTTGAAATTTGCTCCCAAGGTGGTCCTCTCAGTCCCCTTCCATCCAACTTGAAGGGGTCGGGCAAACAATTGTCAGCTGACGCTGCCAGAGTACAATAGTCGCACTTTTTAGATTGTACCATCCACACACACACACAAAAAAGAAAATCTGCCGTGGTTTAGACCGCTATTACCAGAACAGGTGTCCCCAATGGAAGATTTCCCCTTTCTTCCTTTTCCAGTGACAACTGTCAAATTTTGGATTTCTTTTTATTACATTCTGTATTGGTGACCATTGCTAACAGGGCAAAAAGGTTAGGTGAGCAAAGGACCAGAACCAGAAGTGGAACGAGAACCTTCAGGAACCCAGTGCAAGAAACCATGAAGGGCCCCCCCCTTCCCCTTGAGCCTGGGGCCCTTCCCTCTGGGTCCAGGACCCTTCCCACTGATCCCAGGGCTCTTTACTCCCATCGTGGAGGCCCTTTATTATGGTCCTGCAGTGGGCCCCCTTCGTGGTGGCAGAACATCAGGGCCCGGTCACAAGTGCGACCTCGGTAGTTCCGCCAGTTCCCAGAACCCAGCCACCCTTGGGAGGGAGGTCTCAACCAATCGGCGCTCTGGACCTCCCCTGTGGTATGCCATGTCAGTACCTCATCGGCCAAAGAAAGCCTCCTATAGGGCTTCATTCTGTAACACCTAATTCTGAATAACAATAGTCCCAGGAGAGTGCAGCAGTGAGGGCCCCTCTATACTTATTAAAAAAAAAAAAATACCCAAAAGAAGTTTTGTTGGTTTTATTGGAATCAGATTTTCTTATAATTGGTTCTTAAGAAACATTTCAAAACCTCATGAAAGCCACAAGTGGATATTTCGTAACTAAACTTTAGAGTTCCATTCACATTTCTGTGGATATGAGTTCTACGTCTCGTCTGCTAGAAGGTCCATGTAAGGTGAAGGATTTCCTGTACACAAAACTACGTAAGGTTTAGGTGAAAAGAGTCAGAGAGTGCTGAGAGAGAAAACTAAGGTGGGCCGTTTCTTTCAACGTTCTGTGTGGAAAGGTTGGGATTGCAGTGTGTGTGCCCCGTCCCAGTGACCCCCATGTCGCCCACATTCCTTGCATTGAGGCCAATAAGGGGGTCACTGAGACACCCAAATGGAGTCGCATACGGCAAGAAAATTTTTTACCAACATTCTAAACTTCCTACGCTCTATTTAAAACTAGAAATAAATTGCTGGGGTTCAATGTCTCTCCAGAGTTGTGACATCTCAACCGCCCATGTATCTCAACCACCCATGTTCCATTGTGTGACATCTCAACCGCCCATGTGCCATTGTATGACATCTCCACTGCCCATGTGCCATTGTATGACATCGCAACCGCCCATGTGCCATTGTGTGACATCTCAACCGCCCATGTGCCATTGTGTGACATCTCAACCGCCCATGTGCCATTGTATGACATCTCAACCGCCCATGTGCCATTGTGTGATATCTCAACCGCCCATGTGCCATTGTATGATATCTCAACCGCCCATGTGCCATTGTGTGATATCTCAACCGCCCATGTGCCATTGTGTGATATCTCAACCGCCCATGTGCCATTGTGTGATATCTCAACCACCCATGTGCCATTGTGTGACATCTCAACTGCCCATGTGCCATTGTGTAACATCTCAACTGCCCATGTGCCATTGTGTAACATCTCAACCACCCATTTGCCATTATATGACATCTCAACCACCCATTTGCCATTATATGACATCTCAACCGCCCATGTGCCATTGTGTGACATCTCAACCGCCCATGTGCCATTGTATGACATCTCAACCGCCCATGTGCCATTGTGTGATATCTCAACCGCCCATGTGCCATTGTATGACATCTCAACCACCCATGTGCCATTGTGTGACATCTCAACCACCCATTTGCCATTGTATGACATCTCAACCACCCATGTGCCATTGTATGACATCTCAATCGCCCATGAGTTATTGTGTGACATCTCAACCACCTATGTGCCATTGTGTAGCATCTCAACTGCCCATGTGCCATTGTGTGACATCTCAACTGCCCATGTGCCATTGTGTGACATCTCAACTGCCCATGTACCATTGTGTAGCATCTCAACTGCCCATGTACCATTGTGTAGCATCTCAACTGCCCATGTGCCATTGTGTGACATCTCAACTGCCCATGTGCCATTGTGTGACATCTCAACTGCCCATGTACTATTGTGTAGCATCTCAACTGCCCATGTACCATTGTGTAGCATCTCAACTGCCCATGTGCCATTGTGTGACATCTCAAAACCGCACATGTACCATTGTGTGACATCTCAACTGCCCATGTGCCATTGTGTGACATCTCAACTGCCCATGTGCCATTGTGTGACATCTCACCTGCCCATGAGCCTGAGGTTAATGGGTGTCACTGAGACAGACAGTGAGAAGGAGTGACATATGGCAAGAAAAATTTGACCATGGTTTCATCCTTTCCACACTATGCAAAAGCTAGAAAAAAATTTCTTGTAGGATTTGGGCTTCAATGTTTCTCCAGAATGGTGACATCTCAATTGCCCATGTGCCATTGTGTGACATCTCACCTGCCCATGCGTTTGGTGCTCCATTGGTTTGTTTTCCAACTTTCTGGCATCCTTTGTTCTGGATACCAGTTAGGAGATGCCAATATTTTTGGTTGCCCAATGGCGGTTTTCCTTTGGAAGACCGTCATTGTCAGTTGGCCATTGCCAATTTGCCATTTGGCCATTGCATTGACTATCTGTCAAGTTGCCAAAATGTTAGACTGTCCTTGTTGTGGTTCCCTCCAAAATCAAGCCTACACATTGGAACCCCCCCCACCACCAAAATATATGCTTTGACCTCCAGGTGGTGCACCTCTAACCATCTGCCACTGAAAGAACAATGGTCAAACACAAACTAGAATTGGGTCATTTGATAAACATTTACGTTTGAAGGGTAAGGATCCCTATCACGCCATAGAAGAGATAGCAGAACAATTTTGATAAGTTAAACAAAAACGAATTGTATGTAAAAAGGTTAATATTGGTGTTAGAGGGGGAAACATGGTGAGATGTGTTTTCAGGAACAGGGGTGAAATGTGAGTTTTGAGGTGAGAACCGCCTCCCCTGGCTGGCCAGAGTTTGCCGTCCCCATGGTCGGGGAAGAAAAAGACTTGTATATGGAGGGCTGACACTAAAGTGTGGGCGTACGAGTGCCAGGGGCGAAAACCAAAGGTCTCGGCTCCGAGTCTCCGGAGAAAGCAGAGTTGGTTAGTTTTGTCTGTACTGAGTCCTACACAAACTACATCTCCCTGCTGTGGCCAGCCAGAGAAAAAAAAACCAAACAAACAAATAAATAAAACAGGCTTGTAGATGGACGGAGCCGTTGATCTTTAGATGATACCATATTGGGCCAATTCGTGCAGCTCCAAGTGATTGAAGGCTTCCCAGGGGCAGATGACGGTGATGTCTGCAAACAAAGAACAGTCAAGATTGCCATCATTTCTACTTTACATTTGATGGCAGATGTAGCTCTATGCTGGTGGTCCTTCTAGTATCTTGGGTTGGATTTACATCAGCAGAGCACATAGGCCCAAAAAATACCACTGTGCTAGGACTATCCCTTTTACATCGTCTTCTTCTATTACAAATTCTATTACAAAAACTATTTTCAAATTTGGATATTTCCTTTCATTATAATTTATTTCAGATTTGTTGAAATTCATTACTATTGGGATTTGGAACTCTGAAAACATCTGAATCTCTGAATAACGGAAATTTTATCCCAATTTTTGATTTGTAACGAAAGAACCGCAATGTGTCTAATTGCCAGTATGGGCTCGGGTTATGGTTTTGGTTAGGATTGAGGGATAATATTTAGAGGTAAGACTAGAAGTTGGCTCAACAATAAGGGGTCAGGTTTTGGTTAAGGGTTTGTGGTTATGGTGACTTTTTACATTTTGGTTATTTCTGCACCAAAACACTGTATGTGCTATAAACCTTGGCTCTTGTAGTACATACAGATTTTGGGTGCAATAGTAACCAAAATATAAAAGTTTTGTTACCAGACCCGTAACCCTAAACCACACTGTACTGCTAAGCTGACCTCTAACCTCACTTCCAAAATGGCTATTCTCAACTATGGTTCCTTCATAAGATGCTGGGGGTTCCCTGAGCTATGGTTGATTGTGTTCCCATATGATGGTGCCTAGATAGTTCCAGGACCAACACCTCTAGACAAATACAGCAGCAGGACACCAATGATCTTTTTAGCTGTAATTAAGGGTGGCAACGTGATCACCAATGTAAGAGGCATTTTTTTTACCATTGATCCCCGATTAACTGGTTTTAGTTAGGGTTTCTCAAGACCTGAAAATTATTTTAGGGGTTCTTCTGGGGTTGAGGAAGGCTGCTCTAAACTATAACCATTGGCCTAACTCCAACCCCGAGCTTCACCTCTAATCCTTAATCTTCAATCAACCTCTAACTTTCCCTCTAATCCCTAACCCTCAACTCAAACCTTATTCCTAATGCATTGCTAACCCTCAACCTAACCCATGACTGTCAACCCGACCCCTAACCTTACCTCTAATCCTTAACCCTCAACTCAAACCTTATTCCTAATGCTAGCCCTCAACCTAACCCATGACTGTCAACCCGACCCCTAACCTTACCTCTAATCCTTAACCCTCAACCTAACCTCCGACCGTCAACCCAACCCCTAACCTTACCTCTAATTATTAACCCTCAACCTAACCTCCGACCGTCAACCCAACCCCTAACCTTACCTCTAATTCTTAACCCTCAACTCAAACCTTATTCCTAAAGCTAACCCTCAACATAACCCATGACTGTCAACCCGACCCCTAACCTTACCTCTAATCCCTAACCCTCAACATAACCCCTGACTGTCAACCCGACCCCTAACCTTACCTCTAATCCCTAACCCTCAACCTATTCCCCCGACTGTCAACCCAACTCCTAACCTTACCTCTAATCCCTAACCCTCAACCTAACCCCTGACTGTCAACCCAACCCCTAACCTTACCTCTAATCCCTAACCCTCAACCTATTCCCCGACTGTCAACCCAACTCCTAACCTTACCTCTAATCCCTAACCCTCAACCTAACCCCTGACTGTCAACCCGACCCCTAACCTTACCTCTAATCCCTAACCCTCAACCTAACCCCTGACTGTCAACCCGACCCCTAACCTTACCTCTAATCCCTAACCCTCAACCTAACCCCTGACTGTCAACCCGACCCCTAACCTTACCTCTAATCCCTAACCCTCAACCTATTCCCCGACTGTCAACCCAAGCCCTAACCTTACCTCTAATCCCTAACCCTCAACCTAACCCCTGACTGTCAACCCGACCCCTAACCTTACCTCTAATCCCTAACCCTCAACCTAACCCATGACTGTCAACCTGACCCCTGACCTTACCTCTAATCCCTAACCCTCAACATAACCCATGACTGTCAACCCAACCCCTAACCTTACCTCTAATCCCTAACCCTCAACATAACCCATGACTGTCAACCCGACCCCTGACCTTACCTCTAATCCCTAACCCTCAACTCAAACCTTATTCCTAATGCTAACCCTCAACCTAAGCCATGACTGTCAACCCGACCCCTAACCTTACCTCTAATCCCTAACCCTCATCCTAACCCCTGACTGTCGACCCGACCCCTAACCTTACCTCTAATCCCTAGCCTTCAATTCAAAACGTATTCCTAATGCATTGCTAACCCCCATCCTAACCCCTGATTGTCAACCCGACCCCTAACCTTACCTCTAACCCTCAACATAACCCATGACTGCAACCCAACCCCTAACCTTACCTCTAATCCTTAATCTTCAATCAACCTCTAACTTTCCCTCTAATCCCTAACCCTCAACTCAAACCTTATTACTGATGCATTGCTAACCCTCAACCTAACCCATGATTGTCAACCCAAACCCTAACCTTACCTTTTCTCCTTAACCTGTAATCTCTCAGTTTTAATGCGTACCTTTATTGTCAATTCAGCGCTTAACCTTACTTCTCATCTTGAAACCTGAACCCAGATCCTCAATTTAAATCTATACTCTTAACCCTTATGCTAACCCTCAACCTAAACCATAACCATCAACCCAACCCTAACCTTACCTATAATCCTTAACCCTCACTCAACTCCTTACCTTAAACCTAAATCGTAACCCTTATGCTATCTCTCCACCTAACCCCCTTATCATCGACCCAACCCCTAACTTTATCTCCAATACTTAGCCCTTAACCCAACTTCTTACCTTACCTCTAATTCTTAACCCTCAAACCATCTCCTTACCATACATCTAAAGCTTAACCCAGCTCATTCCCTTAAACCAGTGGTGGGCAACCTTTTTTTTCAACTGAGCCAAATCTCGCCAAAACCATGATTGAAATTTATTTTGAGAGCCACATTTTTAAAACTGAAAATACATCTCCCATATAGTAATTCATCCCCCATAGTAATTCATCCCCCATATAGTAATTCATCCCCCATAGTGTAATTCATCCCCCATAGTGTAATTCATCCCCCATAGTAATTCATCCCCCATAGTAATTCATCCCCCATATAGTAATTCATCCCCCATAGTAATTCATCCCCCATATAGTAATTCATCCTCCATATAGTAATTCATCCCCCATAGTAATTCATCCCCCATATAGTAATTCATCCCCCATAGCAATTCATCCCCCGTATAGTATTTCATCCCTCGTATAGTATTTCATCCCCCGTATAGTATTTCATCCCCCGTATAGTATTTCATCCCCCATATAGTATTTCATCCCCCATATAGTATTTCATCCCTCATATAGTATTTCATCCCCCATATAGTAATTCATCCCTCATATAGTATTTCATCCCTCATATAGTATTTCATCCCCCCATATAGTATTTCATCCCTCATATAGTATTTCATCCCCCCATATAGTATTTCATCCCTCATATAGTATTTCATCCCTCATATAGTAATTCATCCCTCATATAGTATTTCATCCCCCCATATAGTAATTCATCCCTCATATAGTATTTCATCCCCCCATATAGTATTTCATCCCCCCATATAGTATTTCATCCCTCATATAGTAATTCATCCCTCATATAGTATTTCATCCCCCCCCATATAGTATTTCATCCCCCCATATAGTATTTCATCCCCCCATATAGTATTTCATCCCTCATATAGTAATTCATCCCTCATATAGTATTTCATCCCTCATATAGTATTTCATCCCTCATATAGTATTTCATCCCCCATATAGTATTTCATCCCCCCATATAGTATTTCATCCCCTCATATAGTATTTCATCCCTCATATAGTATTTCATCCCCCCATATAGTATTTCATCCCTCATACAGTAATTCATCCCTCATATAGTAATTCATCCCCCATATAGTATTTCATCCCTCATATAGTATTTCATCCCCCCATATAGTATTTCATCCCTCATATAGTAATTCATCCCCCCATATAGTATTTCATCCCCCCATATAGTATTTCATCCCCCCATATAGTATTTCATCCCTCATATAGTAATTCATCCCTGATATAGTAATTCATCCCCCATATAGTATTTCATCCCCCCATATAGTATTTCATCCCTCATAAAGTAATTCATCCCTCATATAGTATTTCATCCCCCACAGTACTATTCCCCCCCCCCCCCCCTTCTAGTAAGCCAAGTCCCCCGTGTCAATTCACTTACCTTTTGCGTTCCTCTCGCTGTCTTCCCGCGCCGTTCGGGTCTTCAGGGCGGACTGTGAGAGGAGCCTAGCTCCCCTCCCCTCACGTTCGGCACGCTGCCCCGCCTACACACATCCTGACAGCCACATCCGCAAGCCGGATTAAAAGGTCCGCGCGGACTTTTGGGGCTGCCAACCGAGAGGAGGCAGGGGAGCGGCCGACCGAGAGGAGGGAGGGGAGCAGGCGCCCGGCACACAGAAGAGCCGCATTAGACTGGGTAAAGAGCCGCATGTGGCTCGCGAGCCGCGGCTTGCCGACCACTGCCTTAAACTATAATCTTAACTATGATGTTAACCCCCAACCTAACCCCTTATTGTCAACCTAACCCCTAACCTTACCTCCAATTCTTAACCCTCAACCCAACTTCATAACTTTTAACTTATTATATTAACCCTTATGCTAACCCCCAATTTAATCCCCAACCATCAACCCAACCCCTAACTTTACCTTTAATCCTTAACCCAACTCCTTCCCTTAAACCTAAACCTTAACCCTCGACCTAACCCCTTATCAACATCAACCCAAACCCTAACCTTATTTCAAGTTCTTAACCCTCAAACCACCTTTTTCCCCCTAAACCTATAATAAAACCTTATGCTTACCCCAACTGAACCATCAACTCAACCCTTAACCTTAACTGTAATTCTTAACCTTCTACCCAACTCCTTACCGAAAACCTAAATCTTAACCCTTATGCTAATCCCCAACCTAACCGCTAACCATCAACCCAACCCTTAACCTCTCTAATCCTTAACCCTCAACTCAACTCCTTACTGAAAACCTAAATCTTAACCCTTATGCTAATCCCCAACCTAACCATCAACTCAACCCTTAACTTTACCTTTAATCCTTAACCCAACTCCTTCCCTTAAACCTAAACCTTAACCCTTATGCTAACCAAACAAACCCTTAACTATCAACCCAACCCCAAACCTAACCTCTAATTTTTAACCCTCAACCCAACTCTTTGCCTTAACCCTAAAGCTTAACCCAGCTCATCATCCTAAACTATAATCTTAACCCTTATGCTAACCCCCAACTTAACCCCTAACCATCAACCCAACCCTTAACCTCTCTAATCCTTAACCCCAACCCAACTCCTTACCGTAACCTAGGTAGAGATACTTTCTCTCCTTCTCCCACCCTGGCCATTATTCAACCCCAAACCTGACCCTTAACTATCAACCCAACCCCAAACCTGACCCTTAACTATCAACCCAAATCCAAACCTGACCCTAATTATCAACCCAACCCCAAACCTGACCCTTAACTATCAACCCAACCCTAAACCTGACCCTTAACTATCAACCCAACCCCAAACCTGACCCTTAACTATCAACCCAAATCCAAACCTGACCCTTAACTATCAACCCAACTCCAAACCTGACCTTAACTATCAACCCAACCCCAAACCTGATCCTTTACTATAAACCCAACTCCAAACCTGACCCTTAACTATCAACCCAACCCCAAACCTGACCCTTAACTATCAAACCAAATCCAAACCTGACCCTTAATTATCAACCCAACCCCAAACCTGACCCTTAACTATCAACCCAACCCCAAACCTGACCCTTAACTATCAACCCAACCCCAAACCTGACCCTGAACTATCAACCCAACTCCAAACCTGACCCTTAACTATCAACCCAACCCCAAACCTGACCCTTAATTATCAACCCAACCCCAAACCTGACCCTTAACTATCAACCGAACCCCACACCTGACCCTTAACTATCAACCCAACTCCAAACCTGACCCTTAACTATCAACCCAACTCCAAACCTGACCCTTTACTATCAACCCAACTCCAAACCTGACCCTTAAGCTAACCCCTAATGTTACCACTAATTGTTACACTCAGCTTAACCTCTTGGTGCCGGCCACATGCAAATGTGTGGTCTCCCGGAGTCTGGGCCTTAATGCCGAGCGGCCACACATTTGCGTGCAATTAAGAAAAACATATGTGCTGAGAGCGCTCCCAACACACGTGTCTGGTACTCACAGAAAGGTCCTGATCTCCGCTTTCGATTGGGACCTTTCCCGATCATGTGACCGCCGTGACGGTGAATCACAGCGGTCACATGACCCTAAAACCCCGCCCTGCCTCCTGGCTTCTGAACCCTTAAAGGGCTGGGAGGCGCCGGAGCCAAGGGGTTAAACTTTACCCATAACCTTCAACCCAAATCTATCTATCTATTATCTATCTATTATCTATCTATTATCTATCTATCTATTATCTATCTATCTATCTATCTATTATCTATCTATCTATCTATCTATCTATTATCTATCTCTATCTATCTATCTATCTATTATCTATCTATCTATCTATCTATCTATCTATCTATTATCTATCTATCTATCTATTATCTATCTACCCAACTCCAAACCTGACCCTTAACTATCAACCCAACCCCAAACCTGACCCTTAACTATCAACCCAAATCCAAACCTGACCCTAATTATCAACCCAACCCCAAACCTGACCCTTAACTATCAACCCAACCCTAAACCTGACCCTTAACTATCAACCCAACCCCAAACCTGACCCTTAACTATCAACCCAAATCCAAACCTGACCCTTAACTATCAACCCAACTCCAAACCTGACCCTTAACTATCAACCCAACCCCAAACCTGATCCTTTACTATAAACCCAACTCCAAACCTGACCCTTAACTATCAACCCAACCCCAAACCTGACCCTTAACTATCAACCCAAATCCAAACCTGACCCTTAATTATCAACCCAACCCCAAACCTGACCCTTAACTATCAACCCAACCCCAAACCTGACCCTTAACTATCAACCCAACCCCAAACCTGACCCTGAACTATCAACCCAACTCCAAACCTGACCCTTAACTATCAACCCAACCCCAAACCTGACCCTTAATTATCAACCCAACCCCAAACCTGACCCTTAACTATCAACCGAACCCCACACCTGACCCTTAACTATCAACCCAACTCCAAACCTGACCCTTTACTATCAACCCAACTCCAAACCTGACCCTTAAGCTAACCCCTAATGTTACCACTAATTGTTACACTCAGCTTAACCTCTTGGTGCCGGCCACATGCAAATGTGTGGTCTCCCGGAGTCTGGGCCTTAATGCCGAGCGGCCACACATTTGCGTGCAATTAAGAAAAACATATGTGCTGAGAGCGCTCCCAACACACGTGTCTGGTACTCACAGAAAGGTCCTGATCTCCGCTTTCGATTGGGACCTTTCCCGATCATGTGACCGCCGTGACGGTGAATCACAGCGGTCACATGACCCTAAAACCCCGCCCTGCCTCCTGGCTTCTGAAACCCTTAAAGGGCTGGGAGGCGCCGGAGCCAAGGGGTTAAACTTTACCCATAACCTTCAACCCAAATCTATCTATCTATTATCTATCTATTATCTATCTATTATCTATCTATCTATTTATCTATCTATCTATCTATCTATCTATCTATTATCTATCTATCTATCTATCTATCTATTATCTATCTATTATCTATCTATCTATCTATCTATCTATCTATTATCTATCTATCTATCTATCTATCTATCTATCTATCTATCTATCTATCTATCTATTATCTATCTATCTATCTATCTATTATCTATCTATCTATCTATCTATCTATCTATATTTTTATCATATATGGTAATCATTTTCCCAACAGGAAGATGTGAAATCTGAAATCATAGATGTGGTTACCTGTTCCTAGACCCTCCATGCCAGGAATGTCATCACCAAATCTGTAACAGAAAAATAACAATACTCAGAAGTGGAAAAATATGACGTTTCGATTAGTTGTTACCCCAACACAATTAGAGGAAGTGCTTTGAATGTTGTAAGTCTAGGAATTTAGAGAGTAGACTAAGGAGGAACGTGGCTGGGTTGGTGTAGGACCTCATCTACTACACATTTTAACATGTCAACGGGTCATACAGTTAGGAGGATCCCAACATGGGTACATACATGTTTGCTCCTACAGAGCAGGAAACAAGAGGTGGTCTGAAAGAAGGGAGTCTGGACATGTTTTTTTTTACCCTTGCTTGATCGGTGATGACATTGGTTGGTCACGGCTATCTGGAGCTGCTCATAGACATTAGATTGTTGCCCAGTCAGGCTTCCTGTGCTGTCATTTTGTGCCCAAATGTAGATTAGCAAATAGCCCTCTAAATGTTTGAATTCTGCCAGTCCTGCCCATCTGATGTTGATCTTTCTTTCTATGTAACCCTCTACTTGTTGGCCCCAGACTCTTACCCCTGAACTCCTTTCTTTGGGGGTTTACTCTTGAACTGTCGGGTCTGCCTCTGCTTGAATTTCGGTGGCCCTTTCCTAGGAGTTGCAGGCCCTCCCATTACGCGGGTAGCGGACTTAATCTCAGGCTTTGCAGGCTCTAGGTTCATGGCAGCTCAGGAAGAAACCTTGTTGGCTCCGGTAGAAACTCAGGAAAACGGAAAAAGTCCAGGTGAGGCCAGCTGAGTGGAGATCTTTATACAACCACCTGAGGAGGAAGGAGAAGTTTTGTTATCAGAGGGAAATGTGATGTTACAAGTTCGTGTCTCAGGTCTCAAGTAGTGAGGTAATCCTGAGGAACACACAAAAATAAGTCAGCAAGTCGATTAGTTAACGTAGCTGCTCAAAGCTTTGCAAATGCTATTCAACTTTTGTCCAGCCGGGTGTTGCTTGCAGGGCCACCAGGAAATCTGTCTGTTTCAGCAGGAATTGGATGTTCCGGCCATAAATGGTGGGAATTATCTTAGTCTTACGGTCCTTGTTTTGATTCCAATTAAGGACACTGTGCAGAGTGCTCTTTTACTTTTTAATTTGCATAGGATTTCTCAAGGTGCCTTAGTTTCTTCCAACAACCCAAAAACACACGAAATATTACTTGTTTTCCACTCAAACTGGCATCAGAAATGTAAAAATTATCAGCAAGAGCTCATTTTAGATGATTGCAAAGTGAGGAAAGCAGGAAAAGTACATAGAATTGTGGTGTACATCATTAGAGGAGGAAGGAGGTCCTGATTCTTCCATATAGATCCTATCAGTAGAGGGGTCACCGGCAGGAGGAAGGAGGTCCTGATTCCTCTATATAGATCCTATCACTAGAGGGGTCACCGGCAGGAGGAAGGAGGTCCTGATTCCTCTATATAGATCTATCACTAGAGGGGTCACCGGCAGGAGGAAGGAGGTCCTGATTCCTCTATATAGATCTTTATATCACTAGAGGGGTCACCGGCAGGAGGAAGGAGGTCCTGATTCCTCTATATAGATCTTTATATCACTAGAGGGGTCACCGGCAGGAGGAAGGAGGTCCTGATTCCTCTATATAGATCTATCACTAGAGGGGTCACCGGCAGGAGGAAGGAGGTCCCGATTCCTCTATATAGATCCTATCACTAGAGGGGTCACCGGCAGGAGGAAGGAGGTCCCGATTCCTCTATATAGATCTATCACTAGAGGGGTCACCGGCAGGAGGAAGGAGGGTCCCGATTCCTCTATATAGATCTATCACTAGAGGGGTCACCAGCAGGAGGAAGGAGGTCCTGATTCCTCTATAAAGTTCCTATCACTAGAGGGGTCACCGGCAGGAGGAAGGAGGTCCTGATTCCTCTATATAGATCTTTATATCACTAGAGGGGTCACCGGCAGGAGGAAGGAGGTCCTGATTCCCCTATATAGATCTATCACTAGAGGGGTCACCGGCGGGAGGAAGGAGGTCCTGATTCCTCTATATAGATCCTATCACTAGAGGGGTCACCGGCAGGAGGTCCTGATTCCTCTATATAGATCTTTATATCACTAGAGGGGTCACCGGCAGGAGGAAGGAGGTCCCGATTCCTCTATATAGATCTATCACTAGAGGGGTCACCGGCAGGAGGAAGGAGGTTTCCGATTCCTCTATATAGATCCTATCACTAGAGGGGTCACCGGCAGGAGGAAGGAGGTCCTGATTCCCCTATATAGATCTATCACTAGAGGGGTCACCGGCAGGAGGAAGGAGGTCCTGATTCCTCTATAAAGTTCCTATCACTAGAGGGGTCACCGGCAGGAGGAAGGAGGTCCTGATTCCTCTATATAGATCCTATCACTTGAGGGGGTCACCGGCAGGAGGAAGGAGGTCCTGATTCCTCTATATAGATCTATCACTAGAGGGGTCACCGGCAGGAGGAAGGAGGTCCCGATTCCTCTATATAGATCTATCACTAGAGGGGTCACCGGCGGGAGGAAGGAGGTCCTGATTCCTCTATAAAGTTCCTATCACTAGAGGGGTCACCGGCAGGAGGAAGGAGGTCCTGATTCCTCTATATAGATCTATCACTAGAGGGGTTCACCGGGCGGGAGGAAGGAGGTCCTGATTCCTCTATATAGATCCTATCACTAGAGGGATCACCGGCAGGAGGAAGGAGGTCCTGATTCCTCTATATAGATCTTTATATCACTAGAGGGGTCACCGGCAGGAGGAGGAAGGAGGTCCTGATTCCTCTATATAGATCTTTATATCACTAGAGGGGTCACCGGCAGGAGGAAAGAGGTCCTGATTCCTCTATATAGATCTTTATATCACTAGAGGGGTCACCGGCAGGAGGAAGGAGGTCCTGATTCCTCTATATAGATCCTATCACTAGAGGGATCACCAGCAGGAGGAAAGAGGTCCTGATTCCTCTATATAGAACTTTATATCACTAGAGGGGTCACCGGCAGGAGGAAGGAGGTCCTGATTCCTTTATATAGATCTTATCACTAGAGGGGGGTCACCGGCAGGAGGAAGGAGGTCCCGATTCCTCTATATAGATCCTATCACTAGAGTGGTCAACGGCAGGAGGAAGGAGGTCCCAATTCCTCTATATAGATCCTATTACTAGAGGGGTCACCGGCAGGAGAGGAAGGAGGTCCCGATTCCTCTATATAGATCTTTATATCACTAGAGGGGTCACCGGCAGGAGGAAGGAGGTCCTGATTCCTCTATATAGATCTTTATATCACTAGAGGGGTCACCGGCAGGAGGAAGGAGGTCCTGATTCCTCTATATAGATCTTTATATAACTAGAGGGGTCACCGGCAGGAGGAAAGAGGAGGTCCTGATTCCTCTATATAGATCTATCACTAGAAGGGGTCACCGCGGGACTGGGGAGGAAGGAGGTCCTGATTCCTCTATATAGATCCTATCACTAGAGGGGTCACCGGCAGGAGGAAGGAGGTCCTGATTCCTCTATATAGATCCTATCACTTGAGGGGTCACCGGCAGGAGGAAGGAGGTCCTGATTCCTCTATATAGATCCTATCACTAGAGGGGGTCACCGGAAGGAGGAAGGAGGTCCTTATTCCTCTATATAGATCTTTATATCACTAGAGGGGTCACCGGCAGGAGGAAGGAGGTCCTGATTCCTCTATATAGATCCTATCACTAGAGGGGTCACCGGCAGGAGGAAGGAGGTCCTGATTCCTCTATATAGATCCTATCACTAGAGGGGTCACCGGCGGGAGGAAGGAGGTCCCGATTCCTCTATATAGATCTTTATATCACTAGAGGGGTCACCGGCAGGAGGAAGGAGGTCCTGATTCCTCTATATAGATCTCTATATCACTAGAGGGGTCACCGGCAGGAGGAAGGAGGTCCTGATTCCTCTATATAGATCTATCACTAGAGGGGTCACCGGCAGGAGGAAGGAGGTCCTGATTCCTCTATATAGATCTTTATATCACTAGAGAGGGGTCACCGGCAGGAGGAAGGAGGTCCTGATTCCTCTATATATAGATCCTATCACTAGAGGGGTCACCGGCAGGAGGAAGGAGGTCCTGATTCCTCTATATAGATCTATATCACTAGAGGGGTCACCGGCAGGAGGAAGGAGGTCCTGATTCCTCTATATAGATCCTATCACTAGAGGGGTCACCGGCAGGAGGAAGGAGGTCCTGATTCCTCTATATATAGATCCTATCACTAGAGGGGTCACCGGCAGGAGGAAGGAGGTCCCGATTCCGCTATATAGATCCTATCACTAGAGGGGTCACCGGCAGGAGGAAGGAGGTCCTGATTCCTCTATATAGATCTATCACTAGAGGGGTCACCGGCAGGAGGAAGGAGAGGTCCTGATTCCTCTATATAGATCCTACTATCACTAGAGGGGTCACCGGCAGGAGGAAGGAGGTCCTGATTCCTCTATATAGATCTTTATATCACTAGAGGGGTCACCGGCAGGAGGAAGGAGGGTCCTGATTCCTCTATATAGATCCTATCACTAGAGGGGTCACCGGCAGGAGGAAGGAGGTCCCGATTCCTCTCTATATAGATCTATCACTAGAGGGGGTCACACCGGCAGGAGGAAGGAGGTCCCGATTCCTCTATATCAGTGGTTCTCAACCTTTCTAATGCCGATTTCCCGACCCCTTAATACAGTTCCTCATGTTGTGGTGACCCCCAACCATAAAATTATTTTCATTGCTACTTCATAACTGTAATTTTGCAGTGGGGAGGAGGAGTAGTGCCATGTCATTGGTGTCAGTGGGAGGAATAGTGCCCCATCGTTGGTGTCAGTGGGAGGAATAGTGCCCCATCGTTGGTGTCAGTGGGAGGAATAGTGCCCCATCGTTGGTGTCAGTGGGGAGGAGTAGTGCCCCATCGTTGGTGTCAGTGGGAGGAGTAGTGCCCCATCGTTGGTGTCAGTGGGAGGAGTAGTGCCCCATCGTTGGTGTCAGTGGGAGGAGTAGTGCCCCATCGTTGGTGTCAGTGGGAGGAGTAGTGCCCCATCGTTGGGGTGTCAGTGGGAGGAGTAGTGCCCCATCGTTGGTGTCAGTGGGAGGAGTAGTGCCCCATCGTTGGTGTCAGTGGGAGGAGTAGTGCCCCATCGTTGGTGTCAGTGGGAGGAGTAGTGCCCCATCGTTTGGTGTCAGTGGGAGGAGTAGTGCCCCATCGTTGGTGTCAGTGGGAGGAGTAGTGCCCCATCGTTGGTGTCAGTGGGAGGAGTAGTGCCCCATCGTTGGTGTCAGTGGGAGGAGTAGTGCCCCATCGTTGGTGTCAGTGGGAGGAGTAGTGCCCCCATCGTTGGTGTCAGTGGGAGGAGTAGTGCCCCATCGTTGGTGTCAGTGGGAGGAGTAGTAGTGCCCCATCGTTGGTGTCAGTGGGAGGAGTAGTGCCCCATCGTTGGTGTCAGTGGGAGGAGTAGTGCCCCATCGTTGGTGTCAGTGGGAGGAGTAGTGCCCCATCGTTGGTGTCAGTGGGGGGAGTAGTGCCCCATCGTTGGTGTCAGTGGGAGGCAGTAGAGTAGTGCCCCATCGTTGGTGTCAGTGGGGGGAGTAGTGCCCCATCGTTGGTGTCAGTGGGGGAGTAGTGCCCCATCGTTGGTGTCAGTGGGAGGAGTAGTGCCCCATCATTGGTGTCAGTGGGGGGAGTAGTGCCCCA